GTACTAAAGATAATAAAAATTATCTTAACTTAGGTACCGTATTGAAGAAATATCAAAGTTAGTGAAGTCCTTTGTAGTGTCTAGGTATTGTGGAAGTGCGGATTCCATTGAGGTTAGCCTAGATCATGATTTCAAATATAGCTTGCTTTACCGCATCATTAGCCTATTAGTTGTAATTTTTGTGATATGAAAAGTAATGCAATGAGTTCTGAGTGCATTCATAATATTTATTAGCTGAACTTGAGAAATGTGAATGCGTTACGCTCAATCGGCAAAGGCCTGGAGTCAGCGAAAGTTTTCTCTGCTGTTATGAACATCGCTCAACCGAACAGCCGAGCCGGAAAATACAACAGTAGACTTTTGAAAGCTGTAACCGAGGTAGTAGATGCGTCCCTAAGATATGCTGCTGACGAAGCCCGTGAACTGAATGAAAACTGCGGTGATATCGCTACCGCATTTGACGGGACGTGACAACAACATAGTTTGATACAGGAAAAGTTCTGGATTTTGAGTACCTCACCAAGTATTGCAACATTTGCGTTAGAAAGCCTTTGGGAACTAATAAAGAATTACATGACTAGCTAACCACTCTGGCTCAAGCGGTGGAATGGAGGTGGAAGGTGCAACGAACATTTGTGGTCGCTCTGAGACATAATTGCAACTCCGTTACACCCAATACTTGGGAGACGGGGATTCAAAAGGGGTTGCCAATATCCTATAAATATTCCTTATAGTGAAGATGTCTCCATAAGCTAACTCGAATGCGTTGGCCACATTCAGAAACGTCTAGGAACAAGACTAAGAACGTTAAAAAAAGGATATGAAAGGTGTTCAGTTGAAGGATGGTAAGCTCCTCAGTAGGAAGGAAGGCTTAGAGACGTATAAATTGATAACCTATAACGATATTATGGATTGGCCATCCAAAATAACTTAGAATGCGTAGAAAGTTTGAACCAAGCAATGTGGGCTACTTATTACCAGAAGTTGTCGACGGACGAAGAACCACGCCATGGCCTTTCTTCTATAGGAAGTAAGTCTTGGCGCAAATACAAGAAAGCTGAGCCAAACAAAGAATTAGAGGAATTCAAACACAATAATTTACGTCACACAACATTTGTAAGTATCATGGAATAAAATTGTTAAACAAATATTTTCATCTTTATGGCAGAACATGCGGTGATCCCCTACAATATCATTAAAAAACCTGTAAAAAAGAGTTTAAGAAAAATGACTTTACCCCACTTATCCAGACCTAAAGGTATTGAGGTGAACCTCGTACCAGGGAAAGCATTATGCTCAACCTGTAATAAGAAACTTTTTAAGCTTACAGACAAAGAAGACGAAGATACATAGAAGACAAAGAAGACAACTGTCCTTTAGATCCTTTAGACGATCCAAAATTTGTGAATCCAGAAACCATTCATGTCGGTCAGACTTGTTCCGCTTTAGATGTTTCACCAGCCTGAAAAATTAGAAAATTAAGTCCAACAAAAGACCTAGTGTCAACAAAGCCAAAGGAGGTAAAATATCTGACACTTTAAAAAGGAAATTGTATGCAAATCTAGACGAAACCATGCATGTTTAGCTGATCCTTTACCAATTCAGAATGAAAATCAATTTGACTGTAATGTATGTGAGTAGCTAATAACTAAGTTGAAAGAAAAATGTCAACTTTCCAACAAAGTAGAAACAAATTAAAAAAAAATAGTTTATTACCACCTTTATGGTCAAGGAACAAAATAAGCCAAGAACTTAAGTTTCTGAACGTCTTGTCAAACTTACAAGATACATAACAAAAAAGCAAAGTATTATGCCTGACTTGTCACAGAGAAAAGGTAGTTTAAGCACCAAAACATCAAGCTTATGAAAGACGGAACTAAATTTAATGTTGATTACAAAGATTTGATAGAAGCATTAGCGTGTGGTGTAAATAAGTACCTATGGATGTATGAGGGGTGAATGAGAGGTATGTGGAGATGAAAATGCACTTGTAAATACATTTTCATAGTCGAGTGAAATAATTAAATGCCTGATGATATCGCATACAAGCAATGGGTTACTGTTGACCGTGCAGAGACGATCACAGTGGCAAAGCCTCAAGAAACGTTTCTAGAATCACTCATAGGGAAAGAACAGTCCACCACTATGTTTCAAATATACACCCAGTCTCAAGTAAAGACATTAAAAGTACTCTGACCAAGGAAGAATGTGTTGTTGTAGGTGACTTCTCTGAAAATGTTAGTTTTATTGTACAAGATAAGATCCGGAGTTTTTACAGGATTTAACAACTGGATTAACAAAATGCTACCGTAAACCTTTTTGTGTATTTATTATATTGATGAAGACTCTGGACTGGAAAATACCATAGCCTTTGCAACATAAGCAACCATCTGCAGCACAACACTGCAGTAGTCCATACTTTTCAAAAATACCTTATTGAAGGAAGACATAATAAATTATGTACCGGCCATAAAAAAGATAATATATTTCACTGATGGAACAGCCAGTACAAAAATAAAAACTTTTTTAATCTATGCTGCCATGAAAATAATTTTGGAATTCCAGCTGAGTGGCAAATTTTTCTACTGAGCACGGAAAAATGCCTGCTAAGGTGTAGGTGGCACTACAAAGAGCAAAGTGACTAAAATGACTCTTTTTACTCTCCGTAAAAAATACTATTTTGTTAAAAAAACCTTACATGTATTCAATACTTTTATGTAGACAGTAAGGAAGTAGCAACAAATATATTAGAACTACAAGTTAGATTCAAAGGATGTCTACCAATTACTGGAAAACGATCCGTTCACACATCTGTACCGTACAACTTATTACACAAAATCTATACACATTCTATATCCTATACACAAAATCTTATTACACATTGTACAGTCAACTTACGCATCCGTACACTATGTCATTAAACTTGATTCATTTTATACCGAATATGTTCAAATGGCAAATCTTACAGATAACTGAATGTTGAAGGTTTATTCATCATTTAAGCTCTAAATCAATTAAGGAAATCGGAAATATCCTCTTAGGATGTATTTCGTTTAAAGCTTTCTACTCGTGCGATCCACATTAATTCCATATGTGTTCACTTCTACTGCATATTTTTCAAGTGAATTATTGTTTCATTCATTCTTGGTAGACTGATATTACCGTCATAAGGGCTGAGGAAAGAATAAATTATTATTGAAAGAATAAACAGAAATAACAGATAACACGCCTTGTGTTTTCGAAGCACGAACAGAATGAGTATTGGTTGTCAAAATAGTGATGTTCTAGGTCTTTTCTAGAGAACTAACCGGTTATAATTTTATCTAAATTCACAGATTATGATTTAAGACAACTTAAAATCTTTACTTTTACCAACAAGTCATAAGATTCATAATCGAACGATACCATAGAAAGACGGAATCGAAATAGAAAATGCGATGTAATTTTGCAATCATCAGCATGACCAAGCATTTGCGGTCTTGTGAAACGGCGAGTCACAAAATTACATCTCAATGAGTCTGGGTCCGATTCACTAAGGTCAAGAAACTGCAAGTCATTATTCGGTGGAAACTGGAACCAGAATAACCAGTATGCGTTACCTGAGGCCTCTGCAGACACTACTATAATCATAGATTCAAGAAGTATACTACTGCCTATGTTAAAATGTTTGTACAGATGTATTTGGTACGGGTATAAGCTACAACTATCACCTATGGACGTTAAACTCGTCCCCGGATTGCCTTTAGTTATTAACAAATCTGGTAGAATTGTGTAGAATTCAATGTATTCAAAACCTTACTGCTATAATATTTTAGGATAGGATTGTTAAGTTTGGACTATCGCTATGGCTTTCGGTTATAAGAAACGTGTACAATCCAAAAAAACTTAGCACAGAGAACCTACAGACTCCGAAGGCTGGAATTTATTTTAAAAATCGACAACCTACTATAAGTAAACTATTGGAAATACAGAGAAGACAGAATTTATAAAATAACCCTATTTGAAAACTCTAGCTCGGAAATCGATTGAGTAAATTAATTTTGTTTCGTGGGATACCCACAAAGATACCTATAGATAGGCTTTAAAATTTTAAAATCATGGCATGTAGCATATCAATCAATCCTTTTAACTTTGTGCAATGATTGGAAAATCGGTTAAAAGCAACCCGAGACTGAGTTAACAATTATGTTTTTAGCTAGGATTTGTGTTTTTGAATTAGCTGTAAAACAGATTCTTTACGATTTCATTATTTCTGTTGATTTTATACTAGGCGACAATTTAGTTATAACAGTGACATTTGTAAACTGAAATAGACCATCTATAATCCATCTTCATGAACCGGCTTTAGCTATATTTTGTTCAGGAATAAAAAAACATAGTTGAACGAGCCACTCATAACCACGAACAACATGTAGTTTTCTCAATTAATTTTGTATAATTTGCTAGTTTAATATGGGAAAATATGCTATGGTATGCAATGAGGAATCGCTATAGCTAATTAGCATTTTCAAAAATATAAAATTTGATCTAACTATATTTCAACATAACTTACTACTACAACTAAAATACATATTTTCAAAGAGGATGAAAGCAACGATAACTATGTTACGAATAAAAATTGTAAACGTAGTAAGATTTTAAGGGATGATGAATCCACATGTAATAAATTATAAATCTATAAAATAAAGAAGTATAAAAATGTTTATTGTACTAATTATTTTCCAACCAAACCTTCTTGTCCTAATATTAAAGAAAATGTTGAAAGTAACCACTATATTGTAGTAACAACCTTACAGAACGCTAAGAATAACCTAAAAGCTTTAAACATGAAGCTCTTCGCAATTCTTGTCCAAAACAAGAGTGGCCTTGCTGAAGAGGAGGATCGTCTGGCCTTGGCCTTGTGGTAATAACAGATGTAGGTTGCCGAAGATTGTAGACGGCGTGGAGGGGAGGTGATGTAAGAGCTGCAAGCTGCCGCTGTCAGATGACTACAACTCCAAACTCAACAGTCACCTGTCTACTCGCCAAGATCAAGGACCGGAACATCTGACAAGTAAGTAAACATTTGTGTATACTCAGATCGCTGATTCACCTGGTTACTCATTGTATCACTTTTTGTAACGGGATATGATTTTTAACACCTTGCCGCAATAACCTAAACCTACATCTAAATACATTGCAACAGTTTTTGATCACTGCCAGGTCGCGAAAACTTCGTTTAAAATAATATATTTGCATGTATGTATACAGGAAGAATCACGTAAGGTGTCTACTATTCTTTCCACTTGCCTTTAAAAGATTCTTGTCTGTTTGTATTATATTGTATAGATTTAACCCTTACATTTGTTTAGTATAATAATTTAAACTAGTGGATTGTAGGGACATAAGTCCCTAAAAAGCTCAATAATATAAAACAAATAATTCTAATAGTGAAACAAACTAAGAAATATATAATCTATGTGTCAGAATCCCCCTGTACACCATATCTTTTGTGTAAAAAAAGTTTGTTGTTTGTTTTTGATAATGTTATTTTCATTAAATCAATAAATCATTCGAATCACTACATAGGTTTAACTCTTCTAAAGGCAGCAAACATATAATTGTTTGTGAATAAATAGTGGTTTATTGCGGTAGCTTTGGTCTCGTGGTTAATGGTGATAAAAAAAGACTTCTCTGATTGGAATTTAGGAAATTGTCTTCATCAAATATGAAAAGGCAAATAAAGGTGTGTTGAGGTAAGCTTAGTTCTTGGCCAAACCCGCTAAATAGGCATCCCTACCCAGTTTATATTTCTAAGTTTATACTCCTTTTGTTAAGGTTCAACAACATTAGTGTAAAGTAAAGGCATCCCATTGACAAAACTTAACCCTAGATTGTTTTCTGATCAACAAACAAAAACTACAATTAGTGTAAGTTTATGTGGTGGTATACCCTACCTCTTAAAGTGCGATATGTTTACGTTTCATATTCTATCAAATTAGGCCTAATCATCGACACCCTCCTAACTCTTTTGAGAGCAACAAACAGTGCCTGTTTAAAATCTCTAAACAACATTGTTTTTCTTCCCATTGGAACTTGTCATAGTACTTACTTAATAATTAACAAATATATATTTCCTGTACGAACCTATTCCATCTTTATTCCTAGGTTGTTTTCCAAGAGTAGCCGTTGAGGTTATTCCACTTCATAAACAATATTGATTAAACACTACAATAAATCTAAAATTTAAAAAATAAAGAAAGTTTAGGATAAATCTATAACATATGTTTTGAAATAAAAACAAAGCAGAAGTTTTGCATTTAATATTGAATCGTTAATTATTTAGTCTATGTGGTTATTTGTATAAAACCAAACATTAGAATCGGTTGAAAACACACACGAGTAGGAGTTTTTGTTTACAAAATAATCCCGTCAAAATTGATCTTTGTAGAGACCTGGCAGTTCTATTTCTGTTTGTTTACATAGAAATGTCAAAGGAAACGTAAAAATTATGAGTTTGCTCGTTGTTTTCATGGAGACCAATCAATATTTACTTTTATAACTATCACCTCAGAACTTTGAAAATCCTTGGGGGCAATGTCGAAGCAGGAATAGTTAATACAAATCCTTGCAGCTGTAGCTTTATTTTTAAAATTTAAGCCCAATAGGACAGTTGTCACGGTCATTCCGACGATGATGGAGGGTGAGGACAATTGGACCTGTATGTCACATTTCGTCCAGCGTATTCTGTGTGCAAAAAAGGGGTTCTACCTGTGTGGGTAAAAGCATTTTTACCTCCTCTCCCTAAAAAAACCCCAGTCGGTTCAGTATTTACAAAAATACACACATACAGACCTTTCCTTCATAATACTATATATTAATCTAATTTGGCAAATTATTTATTTCATCCAATACTATTGATATTTTACCAAAAATACTTTTGGCGAATTTCCCATATAGGAAACAAACTATTACCGTAGGTCTCGTGGTACGTTCTAGACCCGGGACCGATTTACTTTTTCCTTTTGAGGTCCCCAGACGCAAAAACACAATCCGTTCAAATTCATATAAAATATGTTTGTCCGTTAGCGCGATAACTCGAGCAAAAATGGGCAGATTTTGATGAAATTTGGTACAATCGAACGTGTTCGAGAACCAGCATGATAGGACTACGGGAACGGGGGTTTACGGTTTTATAGGGTAAAAATTTTTTTTCTATTTGTGACTTTAGAGTCATAACATCAAATTTTACAATTTCTTTCCAAACCATTTCGAAGAGCTTTAAAAGAAAAGAAATAACTTTGTATATTGAAGCGTTGTGCCTAACGTTTACGGAGATAATTTAAAAATTGTAAATTGAAAATTGCCATGTTATTCTATGGGAGAATAAATAATCTGTGGTAGTTTGCTTGTTTGTGGATACATTTTAAACAAATTTGGCAATTTTGTTTATTTCATACTAAGCTAACAACATATAAAAAAATAACACACCTCATTCCTTTCTTGTAGCAGCAAACCTAAGTACTCATTAAAATTTGAATAGGAAATCAATCTTACAATTTTAAGGGGATATTTTAGTATAAATCCAGCCAGGTAAATGGAAATTCACTTAGTCTGCAGGTTTGCTGCGGCGGGGGTGTTTTGATTTCCCATAGTAGCAAATGTACTAGTTAGATCTAATTTATTTAAATGGGCAATACAAATTACTTGTTCAGGAAACATGTCTTTAAAACGCAATTAGACAAACGAAGTGAAATTTGCTTAGTCTACAGGTTTACTGTGGCAGTAGAGTGTTTAGATGTGAAAATCATAGGTATTGAAAATATATACGTAAAACACCATTAGTATAGAAAGGGTATTTAAAACTAATTAGTTTTAACATCAACGCTTGTTTGTATATTATTTAATGATTTATCTTGTTTTCAGGATGATCGTGGAAGTAGTCCTCTCGTTGAGTCTCATTTTCATTGCTCTATACTATTATCTTACAAAGAAATATGACTATTGGGAAAAGAAGGGTGTTGAATATATAAAGCCCGTTTTTCCGTTTGGCACTATGTGGGATCAAATGAAGGGGAAAACAGACGCTGGGACACTACTAACAAAGAACTATACGGAAAACAAGAAGAAGGGACTGAAATATGTCGGTTTACATACGCTTCGACAACCGACACTTTTAATCTTAGATCTTGACTTAGTAAAACACATTCTCACAAAAGATTTTCATAATTTTGTTGCGAGAAACTTTACTCCAACAACTCATGAATACATCTCTAAGCATTTGTTCTCATTAGAAGGGCAGGAGTGGAAAGATATGAGAACCAAACTAACACCAACATTTACATCTGGGAAAATGAAAAATATGTTTATTCTAATGGAAAAATGTACACAACAACTTCAAGATCATATTGAAAATGTCATTTTAAAGAAAGGAGAATTTGAAGTCAAAGATCTCATCGCAAGATTGACAACAGATATAATTGCTACGTGTGCTTTTGGATTGGAAGTAAACTCTATTCATGATCATGACAATGACTTTTTCAAGGTTGGGCAAAAGATTTTTCTTCCAAATAGAATGAACTTGTTTAAGTTCCTCATGCATTCAAATTTTCCAAGAATTTCAAGATTATTAAAAATAGATTTTTTTGACCCTCAAATATCCGTTCTCCTTATGACAGTTATGAAAGACACTATCGAATATCGTAAAAAAAATAACATCATAAGGAATGATTTTGTAGATTTGTTAATAAGGGTGAAAGAAAATAAATCTTTGGAAGACCATGACGAAGAATCCAAAAATGAAATGAAAGATGCTTCCAAGTTTTTAAATATTTTGAAAAATAGCTTACAAGATATAAAACACCAAGAGAAGGACCGTAAGTATACTTGACAATTATAAATCCATAACACTATTTAGACATAGACTTCAGCTTTCCTTTTGGTAACGTCGAGGCAGGGTTAACTTGCTACCTTTCAAGTGAACTTTGCGTCGATGATTTGAAGTTCACATATTAAAACAAAATATGGTAATGCATGATGTATATAATACTCCTAATCAATGGATTAGTATCCTAGGATCCATGTCACATTTGAAAATAATACTAACATAGAACAGAAAACATATCCCTAAGCCGGAATCTATCTACTGTATGTATATATAAAGTTAAAAAGGATTACGAACTTTTAGAAACCCGTAAGCCGCACGCATATGTGTCAGAGGTTTGGTTTGTTTGTTTTTTGTTTACTTGAGTTAGTATTTTGATCCTCGTTGTAGATGTTTGCATTACAACAAATTGATTAGTTTTTACTTTCTCCCCTTATACCATAGTATATACAGTAAGTATATAGAGAAAGTATTGTTTTCGTCAAAATTTTCGAGTTTGAGTGGATATTTCCGTTTTGGGTCCCCCTCGACCCAAAAAGTGGTGTTCGAAGTGATGTCTGTGTGTGTGTGTGTGTAAGTGTGTGGACTGTTTTTAAAAGTATACTTAAAATTAGGGACCCATATTATTATCTGAAGCATTCTTGCCCCGTCGCTAAGCTCGGGCAGAACAGTTATTATAGTATTTGGAATTGGTGGTATACCTATATTTCCCTACCTACTTTAACAATAATTAGTTTAAAACATATATTGGAACAAACTGTCAGCAATGTTTGTATTTTTAAGAACTTGCAAAATACTATGATATACAAAATATCAAAAGAAAATGTTACATTGCAGATCTTACACTAGAAGAAATGACTGCCCAGGCATTTGTTTTCTTCGCAGCAGGGTTTGAAACAGCTGCGTCCACAACTAGTTTCTGTCTTTACGAGTTGGCCAAAGCTCCTGAAGTTCAAGAGAAACTCCGAAGAGAGATTGATGAAGTTTTGGCCAACCACGATGGCAAAATAACATATCAATCTATACAAGACATGCATTATATGGATATGGTAATGAATGGTAAGTTGGTCATTGACACATGCTTTTACGTCCCATATACAATACACATTATTACAATGAATAGATAGTTACTTGGGTAGTTGTTACAGGAATGTAAATGCAATCAATGTATACTTGTAGTTGTCAAAAAAATGATTAAAAGTATTTATTGACTAACAGTATATAGGTACATAACTTCTGGACTCTTTCCACCAAAAATATTATTTTTATAAATTTGTAATGATTACGTCTTTTTTAGGACTTTATAGTCTTATTTTAAAAATGTCAACCAAATCAGCGATGAATTGTTATACATGACCTTCTTCATTAGATTTTTTTATTCATCTATTCTACATATAAATCACAACCTTGACTGAATTACCTCAAGACGTTTTTAATACATTTTTACTGTCTAGAAAGCAGTTTTTTGTAAATGTTTCGTAATCAATTCAAAATTTTTTAAGAATTTTTTTTTATAGAGGTACAGCTTTTTCCGGTTTATAATTTATTAATTGATTGATTGAAAGTGTGTTTTTTTAAATACCTAATTTTTGTATTTAAAATAAATATGCTTCTATTTGTTACATATAAAAATTTATTTCAAAATAATTAGCCTAAAATACTTGGACAATTAAGTTGATAATTTTACACAACCTAAATGCAATGTAGGTGCGAAGTTGTAAACACATTTCATGCACTTAGATTACAAAGATCTCAGAATCAGTAATTAGTGTTGGTTCAGTTTAAGAAGAGACAAATCTGTTATCTTCAATCAAATTCGTGGCAAACAACTACAAATATATAAAGACCCAAACCCATTTTTGCAGAAATGCTCTACAACATTTCAGTCAACAAACAAAAACAAGCGGAGAATTAACCTTGAACCCTATCATTAAATCATAGAAAATACGACGTATGGAATTGGTTAATCAATCTATCTATACAATTATAAAAATGAGGTGGCGTCTGTCTGTCTGTGTAGCTGCCAAAAATACTAAACCGAAACAGCCCAAATTAAGCACAAAGCTGGTCCACATATCTAGGAATCTCATAGGCCTATTCACTTTCCTGAGTTCCTCTCGGGCTACTCTCCTTGGATGTCCAAAGTTTTGAGGTGAGGTTTTCAAAAGTAAACATGGAAGCATGATAAAATTCACAATATTTGTTTACCTTCGCGTTGACATTTTAATGTAAACAGTCAGAACTGCTAAATAAAGCGAATTTGAAAATTTCAGACGGCTGATCCAAACAAATTGGGTAAAAGCTATTTACCTTACAAGGGTAGTAAGAGCGATTTTACATCACGCAGGTGAATATTGTGCAACAAGCGGATCGAGTTGCATAATTTACCTAAGTGATGTAAACACGCTCTTGCGTAACGTGTAACGTACAAGATTTCACCTGACCTGACAATATACAGGGGGTTACGTACAATATTTTTCATTATCCATTTCACCCCGCGGCGAGCGAAATCTGGCAACGTCGCATCCGAGGCATAGTCCAGCCGGCTCCCGCCATTAGTTTGCACAGATAGACGGCGCATCACAGGTGATTAACCTGTTTGTTTTACACGATTAGAGACAATATAGTATTCGTAGTGACAGTGTGTTATGCCTCATAAGCGTATCATGCCGGGATGTAAAAATAACCACCTAAAAGCATTAACAACTGAGGAGTATATACAATTATTTCACTTCCCTTTAGAAGGTCCGCATCAAGATGAGTGGATTAGAGCTATAGCCTAAATTTAAACTTAATCAAGAACCACGTTCTGATTAAGAAAATACACATTTTCTACTTTATTAAAACTAAAGTAAAACATATTGGATAAAAAATGTAAAACTAAAATATTAATAGTAATAGTATGAACAAACAGTGTTTGTACCTCTTATGTATTATCAAAATGAAAAACCAATACACTATTGATACAGATAATTTGAAATATTTTAAATAGGCAAGATGTTTTCAAAGTCTTGCGCAGTTGTGTTTTGTACATTTTACTATTAAGGAACGCGGCAGCGTTCCGCCCCGCCAAGTCCCCCAGCGGTACACAGCTGCTGCAGTGTATATATACATGACGTGACAAAGTGGCTTTTTTACTCGTCTATAGCTCTGAAGAAACAAAAGCTATTAAAATAATTGTTCATCTACTGGATAGGGGCAATCATTCTCAACAAAATAAAAAAAAGAATTTAAAAAACGGTTGTGTTTGAGCAAAGAAAAACTAGTTTGAAAATTCACAAATTTTCCGTGTTCTCCTTCTTCTCCTTAAATGTTGACGGATCTACAGCCCAAACCACTGGCTCAATTTTAATGTTCTTTATGTTGTGTGAAAGCCCTTAGCGTGTAGATGTGCCTTTTGAGGGTCTCAAGTCGGTACGTTGACCCATAAACCCTTGGCAAGCCCTCAAAGTACGATTTTGGCCCATTTAAATAACATGGGATTAAAATCAAAACAAATCAAAATAAAAAGAAGGACCAGCTGCGATTAAATATCAATAAATTTAAATGTTAGAGAAATTTATAGGAACAGCTGATGATTATTTTAAAACTTTTATAAAGTATTTTTTTCAGGTATACCGAATGATTTGAACTACTTACTATATAAAATTACTTAGAGAAGAGATATTCCCCCCCGTGACGGTTCCAAGGGGGGGGGGGCTACAGGGGCTAAAGCCCCCCCTCCTTGGACCCTGGAAAAATAAATTTAAACGCACATTTCGTCCTTAAAACACGCAATGTCTTAAACACACATCAATGTAGATTTTATTAAACTTAATAAGCGATAGCAGGAGTAGTATTAAGTTCCACATAGATCAACTTTGTGGACAATAGCACAGCAAATAAAACAATATTACGCAATTGAAAGTTAGTTAGTTGGACACAATTATATACATTAATATGGCTTTAGAAAGTCAGTAAACAGCTTTTAGGACAATATTGCCGTAGCCTACAATATGTTTTGAGATTTTATGAATGCAATCGTCATAGTTAGTATTAAAATGTCTACTTATTCATGACAAATAAAAATGGGGAAATGGGAGGTTTTGCACACAGTTCTAGACGTTGAAACTGGCTGTAGAAAGTCACCCAAGGGCTCAATTTACACTAGTCTTTAGATATACGGGTTTAATTATCAGAACACTTATGTAACACCAACGCATTGCCAGTAATGTTGGAATTCACTTCAATATTAGGTTGAATTCTATTTAAGTTGGTAAAAGCTTTAAAAACGTTAAAACAGAGGGCTATTACTTTCAACACCTTTATTTACAATTGAACTCACAACAATAAGCATTTAAATCATAATTAAATCTTAGCAATGAAATATAAAGTACAAAGAATAAAATATATTCATCTGCCCGAATTTTAAGTCAACTATAAATTGGTGCTAAGTAGGCCACCAGATGCAATCACATTTTATACATATGTTTCTATATAATTATATACTAGGATACTAGCTAAATTATTTAACTAAGTCTTTTAACATTGTATTAATAATTTTAACAGCTGTAAATAAAACGTGTTTGTTGTCTTTTTCATGTTTACAAAAAGAGCAGCATTGTTTATGTGTAGTGAAGAGATCTAGTTTAAGAACATTGAGAACATTTCTTAGGACCATTTGGTAAGATACCATGGCTATGTTTTAATTACATTTTAATAGCTCTTGGACTAAAAAATGTCTTCAAGCCTCTACATCAATATCAGCTCCCACAGGACTAAGTGCTTACAACATCAATGGTTCTACGATCAACAAAGTGTTTCAGCTGCCAGTTGAGCATGGAAAAACTCCAAAGTACAAAGCTCTTACTGATGATGTTTTAAAAATGTTGAGATCCAACCTGAAAGATGTGGTGCTCTTCATAATAGACGAAGTGTCCATGGTCTCCAATCTAACATTGATGTACATAAATCTCAGATTGTGTGAAATATTCAACACCTCAGACCAAAGTAACGGCTGGTTTGGTAAAAAACATATACTGCTCTTTGGAGACCTTTTACAACTTCCACCAGTACACGAAGACTCCCCATTCATTGAACTTGACAGTAGCAAACTTAGTTCTTTTGTTGGCTCTCTGTCTTGTGTTAACATCTGGTCTGAACAGTTCTCTTATGATGAACTTACTACAAACATGCGACAAGCTCAAGATTCTAAGTTTGCTGATGTGTTAAGCAAAGTCAGAGTAGGCAATATGACCGTTGAGGACATCCGTCTAATTGAAAGCAAGAAAATACATCTTAATGGAAAAACTGCTTGTGAAAACCTTTCTCTATTAGGAGATTACTTGTCTGCTTTTCCCAACAATTCTGTGTGTCTTTGTTCAACTGGTTACCAATGCTCCATAATAAATGATGAAATGGTCAATAGAATAAGTGGTCCTGTCGTTAACTTGGTTGCAAAAGACTCAGTTGACTGTCTACCTCGTCAACAAAACAAAGTTAAAAAGATACTGTCCTCTTACAACTCTGACTGCAGCAGAACGGCTGGTATGGAGAAAATTATTCCTATTAAGGTTGGTGCTAAAGTTATGTTGCTTAGAAACATTGACGTCACTGTGGGGCTAGTTAACTCCGCCATTGGAACAGTAACGGGGTTGAGGTTTAATACAGACAATTCTGATGACGTAGACTCAGTGACAATTAACTTTGATTGTGGCATTACCCATCACCTACAGCGAGTAAACGTCAAGTTTCAAGTGATGGATAACGCATTTGTGTATCGAGAGCAATTCCCGATATCGATGTCCTACGCGGTTACAATTCACAAATGCCAGGGCCTCAGCTTAAATAGCGTAATAATTGATATTGGGGAGTCCATATTTACATGTGGCCAATCATATGTTGCCTTGTCACGAGTGACTTCATTAGAAGGGCTTCATCTTATTAACTTTAACCCAAGAGATGTGAAGCCTCAGAAATCCGCCATTCTCGAATACAACAGACTAAGGCAGAAGTACAGGTCTGACCTTCCACTTTACAACACAAGTTGTGACTCCTCTTCGGCTCCTTATGTGAGAGACAGGAAGTGGTGCCAGACCAAAAATGTCGAAAAAGTGCAGGATGAGAGTACAAAACCGGTACCCTCTGCAAAGACTACCGGAAGATCGAGAGTTCAGTCAACTTTAGCATTAAAATTTATTTTTTTTTTCAGAGAAAAGAGTATTTTTATTTGAACGGTTAATTTTCTACAAAAATAAATAAAATCTAACAAAAAACCACTAAGTGGTAACACTTTCCCCGCCAAGTCAGCAATCCAAAAAAGATAATAAATCATTACTTTTTCCGCCAAGAAAAACAATGTAATGTATGTAAGTTTGGCAACTTGGCGGCAGACTTTTGCTTGGTTTTTCTTTCATTTAAGTTACGTTCGTGGATAATTTCACAAATCAACTTCTCTAATTAATTAGTCCAACTAAGTATAATAATTTCGAGGTAATCAGTAAATATAAAACCATCACTATTATGATTTTATGAAATGTGGCACAAATAAGGTCAAGTTTTGTAAAATAAGCTCTCACCTAGCAATGTACTAATGGGAGAGATACTGGCTCAATGAAACTAGTTTTATGGTATTTTTAAAGTGATCGAGCAAAAGTCTGCCGCCAAGTTGCCAAACTTACATACATTACATTGTTTTTCTTGGCGGAAAAAGTAATGATTTATTATCTTTTTTGGATTGCTGACTTGGCGGGGAAAGTGTTACCACTTAGTGGTTTTTTGTTAGATACATGTATTGCATACATTTCCTATGCATTTAGTCAGAGGTGTAGCAATATTTCTTCTACCTTAGTACAGTTCTGCATGGACATTCAATGACAAAATTTTAAAATAGCCTATAACAGCTTTGCATATTTCGAAACTAAGTTTGAAATTATAGTATCACCCATAGATTAATAGGCAAGCGTGTTTAAAACCTTTTTTCTCAGCTTGTGTGCAACACAGAGAAAATATACGCTTACTATTATAAAGATATTTTCCTTTAGATGTGCAGAATCCCTTTATAAATGTAAATAGACAAAAAATTACATGGGCTGCCATGCTGGTGACAGAATTACAAAGAAATGAACAGAATATCAAATCAAATAAAAGAAATTCCAATAAAATGTTTAATTTACAACGTGGGTTAGTAGATAAGTCTGAAAATTACATATTTTTGGTCGAGTTTTCGACCAATAGACGACCAGTTCATAATAAAATTAAAAAGAATTATAAGGGAACCTAGGCCTATTTGTAAAAGTATATTATATTTTCATAACTCATTAGGTTCCAAAATGGTTACGTTTTTATTACAAATGTATATCGCTTGAACATATATTCAGGGTTGTAATTAAGTGGTGAATATACGTTTATATAAACATGTATTAATTAGTATTTCGTAATAAAATCTGAAAAATGGTAAGCGGCATTTCGTGTTAAAAATAAATCTTTTGAACTGGCTACATTTTCATAGCTTTAAACGTGAATAAGCGCAGTTTTGGCGAAATGTTGCACGTTTTAACGTTGGCGGCAATACCCGGAGTTGGACCAGGGTGGGGATGAGTCGTGGCGTTGCCACATCGAAGGCCGCGGCCTTATTAATAGAGACAGTAACGTTCTTTTACAAACAAAAGCTAGGTTTTTGCTGATTCAGCTGATTTCTAGCGTTTTTTACAACAGAACTATGTGGTAGGATTATTTATGCTATTGATTATGGAAAATTAAGTTATATTGTATATTTAAATGTGAACAATAGGACATTTATAATGTAGGTCATACTTTTTTATTAGATTTGGTGGCTCTTTGTTTACAAATTTTACTTAACAAATGTTTGTATGTTTGTATAGTACATCTTCCCGTTGCGAAGCACGGGTACAGCAGCTAGTAATTTATATAAATTTAAATCTCATTATATTTGTGCATACAATTTGGTTATGCTCCTTGTTTTCAAATAAGTTTAAAAAAATAACTATGAAAAATGACTTAATCCTTTGTAGTGAGGATTTGTTGTATTAACTATGAGCTGTATTATTGTGTAATGTACAGAGACACTGCGCCTGTATGCGTCTCTACCCTTTCTGACCAGAGTGTGCACGGAGCGTTATCAACTTCCTGGCACAGATCTAGTCATCGACGAGGGAGTCCGCATCACTATTCCCTCCTACTGCTTCCACCACGATCCTGATATCTTCCCCGATCCCTACAAGTTTGACCCGGAGCGCTTTACTGACGAGAACTGTCATAGCAGACACCATTACGCCTTTCTACCCTTCGGCGAAGGACCGAGGATTTGTATCGGTGAGCGTAAGATCATTTTAAGGCTAACTCTAATATAGTTTATGAGGCTTAGTTCAAGAAAGAATACATTATTCCAATTAATTGATTAGGATTTTACTTCATTTTATCATTCTACAGAGGATTTTAAGCTTGTGTCAGGATTTTTCTTGAATTTATTTTGAGGGTTGGAACATTGTCACGTGTGTGGTAATCAATAACGAGGTTCGACCGTAGATTCCATCCAGCTCCTGTCACAGCCAAACGAGCTAGTACTGAAAGTAGAAAGTAAAGAAATCTTTTCGCCATCGTCCCTTCTCCTTGGCTGATTACACATGTTCTTTTATTCTGAATGTGCGGTTCCCCTTTATGGTCTTTTTAGAATGTGGATGCAATTTTGAGACTTATTTACTCTTGGAATTTTCGCTATAAACCTACTCATTTAGAAACTACATGATGTAAAATATACATGATGTAATTTTGATTTAGGCTGTAACTCCTAACCGAGTGGGTTTATAGAAAAAATGTCTAGAATAAAAAAGTTTTTAAATTGCATTTTCTATCAGAAAACAGGATAAAATTGGAATACGGAATATAAATATTGGGAAATGGCGGCTGAATTTAAAAAAAAACTAAATTCATATTTTTAACTGCCACAAAAAATAAAGGAATGTTCCCTCTTTTAAAGTTGTCTCTAATTCTTACCGGATATCCCAATGGTGGCCTCCTTGAGTTGATCACCCTGTATATTAAAACGTAACAAGGTCTTTCACGATTCTGAATAAACCACTTTACAGATTTTCATGATTTTTGTGTTGAAAGATAGATAATTTTGAAAGGAACGGAATGTCGAAGTCATAATTTTAGTTTAGCACTTCATTATTGTTATTTATTTATTTATTTTTTGTAATAAGTTGCTGGGTTTGATAATAGGTAAACATATACGGACCAGTTTAAGATAATGGAGGTTGGGATACGAAAGAACAGAGAGATAAGAGAAATGTTTATACACCCAGATGTAGGAGTGATTTCCAAAAGTAAAATGTTCGGATAGGCAGGCTATGCGTGGTGGAGAGACAATACTTTTGTATACCAAGGAGTAGGCCTACTACAAAGTACGTAGACGACTATTTGGAAGACATATCTAGACTGTAATCTAATAGAAGAGGCAGGAGATTAAAAGATAATGGGAGGCCAGAATCCTCTTTAGGTTTCAATGGCCACGGAGGGATGATAAGGTACGGTAAGTGATACTATGCAATGGAAGGTGGTTTTGTATGTAGCTCCTGTCGCTGTACTCAAAACCAGTGTGTATGAATCGATCGCCAATCTTACGTAAAGGCTTTTCAAATTACACTATTGCTATTTTATTGTAAAATTATCAGATCTGAAATTTACAACGTATCTATAAGACGAAAGAAATAGGTGGTCACATGACTTTTGTTTACAAGATGATAATCCCCATTTAAACTGCCAGATTTTTCTTAATACATGTAAACTAGTTGTTCTGGTTTATATTCAGATTTAATTGACTACTCCATTCCTGTACGTAGGACGGGCAAACAGCTCGTTTATAATGGTAATCCAATCCTGCTCTTATGCCTGCTCTAATGCTAATAGTAATTTCTTAAACATCTTACATGTTTTAGGAATTAACCTTGTTATTAAGGATTATTTGTAAAATTACAATCATCTAAAATTACAATTTTGTAAATAGCTGTATTTTTAAATAGTAGTCTAGAAAAGGTTAAACATATTTTTCACCACACTATGATGTTTTTAGCTGTTTTATATACGTTAATTGGTGGCTAAAAGTTACGTTTTGCTGGATGCCAGCAGTCATCATCATTTTTGGGGACCGAGCAGATTTTACATCCCTAGGGCCGCAAAATCAGCCGCCCGCTTACTTTCTTAAAACATGAATGCATATTAAATACACAATCAGTATCCATAGCATTGCAATAGAATTGTTTTACTGTCACAGCTGCCTAGCAACTGTTTATTATTATTTTTGCTGATTTCTCAAATTATTTCTTCAAATAACCATAAAGTTGTACTTGTTGACAGTGTGCATTATTATTGGGGTGAAAAGTGGTAATAGTGGTATAAGTGTAGTGAAAAATAGCGTTCGTTCACGGACCGAAATGGTTTTGCAGCTCTCGATCGTTTTAAATTCTCTACCTCGTCTCGAACTTAAAAACCATCTCGAGCCGGCAAAACCTCATTTTTAGCCCTAGGTACGAAATATACTATATCCGTTGGATGAATATACATATGTATATATATATATATATCTTTGTCTTAAGGATGACAAGAAAGCTTTGCAGTCCTGTGGGGCAAAGCTTCGAGTTTACGGAAGAAAGGTAGTCCTCCTAGTTCAAGCGGTTTTGTTTGTAGGTATGAGGTTTGGCAAGCTGCAAGTGAAGGTAGCTCTAGCTTCTATACTCTCCCTCTACGAACTGTCACCAACCCCTGATACACCCGACAAGCTGGAGATCCATCCACACATCGTCTTCACCACACCCAGACATCCCTTCAGTCTCCGAATCACAAAGAGAACTGATTTATGAGGAAATGTTTCTTAACATTGACGTAATAGTTATATAGACTCAAGTTCAAAACTAGTTTTAGAGTTCAAAAGTAGAATCTCAAAATTAAAAAAAGAATTCATCCTGCATATCACACAGTGTTGATTTTACAACTGGAGTAGCTTTCAATTCAACAATAGACAATTTTATTACCAATCTAGATGAATCTCAAACATATATATCAGGCATAATACCATTTATGTCAATAGTTCATAATGTTTGAGGAATAAACATTCGTTTAGACCATAAGTAAAAATATAATTTTAGCTATATTTTATAGCAGATTTTTCAAAGAGGAATATTAATATTTGAAACACATTATTGCATATTAAAAACTGGTTTTCTTTGTATATAGCTAATGTAGAAGATAAGTTATATAAATCTTAACATTATATAACGTATTTAAATATTAATTTAATTTATTTTTCATAAAAATAGAGCTAAACAATTTACAAACAACAAAAATTACTCTATATGTACAAAGTTGACAAATTAAAAAATGAAATAGCGGAATTGACAAAACTAGCCAGATGTAGAGGTGTTGAAGAGCTCCTGTTATTTATAAGCAGAGGGACAAATAGGCTACTATAGCTCGGCCACTTAGAAAACGACCTCCTCCAGCATTGGTTTAGCATTAGCGCGCAGGTCGTTTTCTAAGCGGCCGAGCTATATCAAGTTATTATAAGTTAATACGAGGGAAGAAAAACTGTTACGATAAAAAAAAACATTGCAAAGAAAACTTGGTAAATAATTAATAAGAAACAGGAATAGATGCTAGAAAGTATAATAGTTCCAACACTATGTTTAATAAACGGCATCAGCAATCTGATACATACTTTATCCCATTAGCTCGTCAACAACATTTATCATAGGTAAGCGATGAGAGTAACTTAATAATAAATAAAAAAAAAATAATAAAAATGCCTTTGTTTATCAAACGTTCTTCAGTTACATACTGCTTTACAGGATAATAGGTTAAATAGAAAAAAGTTGCAATTACTTTTGGACCATAATATTTACAGGAATGGGTGGGTTGCACTATTTTGTTTGGAATTTTAACGACCATAACAGACGAATTTCAATCAAAACCCGGAGTTCCCCCCCAAAAATTTTTTTAATTTTGTCATGGGTTTTATGGGAAAATAACATAAGTTAAGTTTACAATGACTTTTGAACTGTAACTTTTACAATTCTAATTATTGTACAATTATCTTAATAAATTACAATTCATCAAAATAGTACTGCAATGTCAAATTTTCTGTTATTTATTATTTACACGAACATTATTTTACATGCCCCCTCAGTAACTTCGCTAGCTTACTGCCAATTTAGCCCAGTCAAATGGTGTTTGAAGTGGAAAGTTCTGGTGTAATTGTTTTTTATAGCTTATTTTATGTTTTTGGGGTTGCTGAACACAAATCTGATGTTGCACTATGTTGTTCAGAATTATAAGGACCATCACATACTAATTTCAATCAAAACCGGGTTTTTTTCGAAAATACAATTTTATCTTATTTTATGGGTTTTTAATGGGAAAATTACATAAGTTACAATAACTATAAAACCGTAATTTTTACAGGAATTGGAGTTCTACTATTTTGTTCAGAATTTAAAGAAATACCACATAATACATTTTTATCAAAATCTGTATTTCCATATCTCTTCTATATCTCAGCCATTTCCGAGAAAGTTTTTCCATTATTTTATGAGTGTTTATGGAAAAATAACAACAACAAAATTGATTAGTACCTACATAACAAATTTCATCAAAATCAAACCATAGGTGTAGTCTGTAGCTCTGCGCACATACAGACACACGTACACACATACACACACAGATATCACTTCAAAACCCACTTTTTTGGTCCCTCTGGACTCAAAACGGGTATATCCACTTATAACTCAAACTGGAAAATGTTTGACGAAAACAATACTTTCTCCATATACTATGTACAGGGGGGGGGGAGTAAAAATTAGAACAATGTTATAAATGATTCCTTAAGATATTAAAATACTTGATAATTTTACTGGAGCCATTGCACATTGCTTCTAAACCCATTATATTTACACTTAGCAACAAGAAAAAAAACATGCCCATAAACTCAATAACAAATCATTTCGATGTAATCCAATAACTGAAAATGAAATAAGTAAAATGAAAAAAAAGAACGATCTTTACGGTCATTATTAGGTTCTCCTAAAATTAACTAAACAATTAAGAAACTAACAATAAAACTATACATAATCCATAATCAATTATTTGGGTAAAATGAGGTGGTTCAAAGCTACATTGAGTATTTCCGTGGTATTTCCTTAAACGTAGCATTATTTATTTAGCGTATATTGTCTTTAATTTAGATTGATATTTTGGTGTCGTTTTTAAAAAGTCCACTCTGGAGTTGTAGGCCTATGTTTTTTCTTAAAATGACCTAAAAGTACTATATGTGAAGGGAATTTGCCCCAGTGGTTCTCAATGCTACGGTTTTAGTCTTATGAAATGGTAATATAAATCAGTTGTGCTCTTTTGTTAGTTATCCTAATTGAATGTATTTTTTCAACATATTTTGTTTTATTGTCATCTCTTAGAATTATTTGTAATAAAAAACACATCAATCGACATTGTTGGTAATAAATGTTTGTGGATTTGATTGGCTATAAGTGAGACAAACTTGTTCCCTGTATAATCCATCTTCTGACATTCGAATCGAAGAGGACCAATTATAATCCAAACTACAAGAACTAAACAATAAGCTACATTGATGAAATCAAACAATAAATGCTTTGGTTGGATATATGCTTTTTCTTACTATCAAATTGTTCAAGTTAGCAAAATGTGAATAGGGAGTCAAATAAATTTTTAATCCCTAGAGACAATTGGCTGCAGTATGACGAAAAGTTATATATCTGACCAAACAAAGTATTTATTTAATATTTGGACACAAATTTCCCTTGCCTATTCTAATTATTGTACAATTATCTTAATAAATTACAATTCATCAAAATAGTACTGCAATGTCAAATTTTCTGTTATTTATTATTTACACGAACATTATTTTACATGCCCCCTCAGTAACTTCGCTAGCTTACTGCCAATTTAGCCCAGTCAAATGGTGTTTGAAGTGGAAAGTTCTGGTGTAATTGTTTTTTATAGCTTATTTTATGTTTTTGGGGTTGCTGAACACAAATCTGATGTTTTCCAACAAAAATTATTTTGACAAATGTGAATTAAAAAATTCTAGTTTTTGGCTTACAACTTTTAAATTATAGGCTAGTAAAATAGGTTTTTGCACATAAATAATTCCTGGAAAGCTGGAGATAATTTTAATCCTTTCTATTTATATAGAAGTAAAAGGATTTGAAGTTTGTCCCACTTTTCGAGGCGAGCTTCTGACCTGGGCCTAACCTAACCTAACCTAACCACAAAAACCTTGAAATTCAGGGTTATTTTTTAGTTTTTGTTAAACGTCAAAAAATCGTCTAGCCTACAGAAAAAACAAATCATAAATGAATTGTAGAGCGTAAAATTCCGCATACATTGAGTATCTGGTGATGAAAATCGAACCAATAATAAGTTATTTATAGGTAGTAATTTAAATCAAGTTATTTTATTAAGAAATTATTGAACATTGAATATTTAACATTTATATTACTTCCAGAAAATGGATACCAAGTACATTTTATTTACAAAGTAATTAATAGAAATTACACACCCCCGCCGCAGCAAACCTGCAGACTAAACGAATTTCCATTTGCCTGATTCAATTTACTCTAAAACATCACTTAAAAATATCGCATTTGTTCACCATTTAAATAGCATTTGTTTAACGAGTACTTAGGTTTGCTGCAACAGGGAGGGTTAAAAAGTGTTTTAACTGTTAATAGTTTGGTATGAACTGAATATATTTTCCACTTTTTATCAAAATATGTTCATAACAAGCAAAATATAACAGTTTACTATTCCCCATAAAAATAACATGGGAATTTTAAATGTATTTTTTTCTCCGTTGGTGCACTATTTGGTGCATAATAAAGCTTCAAAATATTAAATTATTTGTTTTTTTAAGCTCTACAAAATTGTTTGGGAGAAATTGCAGAATTGTATGCTTTTAGGGTCAGAAATACTTATTTTTACCCCCATATAACCCCACCAAAATCCCCGTTCCCATAGTCTGATCATGCTGGCTCGCGAACTTATCCGAATAAATGTAGAGTTACAAGTTTATAACAAATTTCATCAAAATCTGATCATTTTTTCTCAAGTTATCGTGCTAACGGACACTTATATAAAAATTTAAAATATATATATAACGGGGGGGGGGGGGGGAGGCACCGACAGGCGTCTACTTGTTGCTCACCGTAGACGGCCACAGCCCGCTACTGTAGTGTAGACGTCAGTACTTGCATGCTATGCATTCATTCATCGTCATCTACATGTATGTTGCCAAAAAAGTTACATTTAATGAACAACGTAATCCTAGAAGAGATACGATCAGTGGTGTATGAGACGAATAAATATCTCCCTCCACATTCCTTTTTGCAGAAAAAATTAAGATCTTGTTCCCGAAATAAGGTTTTTCTTAAAAGACTGTTCCTCAAGAAGAAGCGTGGGGATAGAAGTAAATGGATAAAGAATGCCTTAGCAATTACACACAGTATCATTAGCGCTGTCAGACCTCCTTCTTTTTTGTCCCCTAAGTAACTAGGGTTATCAACTTTCTTAAAAAAAAGTTTGGGTCGAGAAAATGTATTAATATTATCTCATCTTTAGGATCTCGCCTCTTATTCAGGCCGTTCGACTGGAAGTGTGCGTAATTATGAGACCAGCTTTCCAAATAGACTCCACGACATTTCATCAGTTTGTTTACGACAATGCTGATTTTAATACTCGTACGTTGGATGGATATAATAAATTCTATGCATGGGGGGGATACATCTGATAACACGAAAAAGTGCTATTGCTCCAGATCAGAAAATAGACAGACTTAAAAGTATTTTACCCGCTCATGAAGTTGGGGAGAAGGGGAGTTTGTTTCTTTAAAACGTTTTGAAAAAGGATATTCTCATGGGCTAAAAGATATATAACAGTTGTGGATCTCTGCAACTTATATACTTCAAAGGATAATGACAAATCCTCTGTTGTGGATTTGATGTGGATTTTCAGCAAGTGGAAGATGTGTCCAACATTTAAGGATGGGGTGGATTCATGAAACAAACGACAAATAATCTCCCTTTTCAAACAACGTTTGTAGTTTGCTTGCCTTTTATTAATGCCCCACCATCTGATTACAACATAATATACACGGCACTACTAACTTCAATGGAACAGTGCAGACCTGTGAATCAACAAGCAACTGTGTACACTTTTGACCAATAAGTAGTTAGTCTACAAAGTGATTATTATTTTGACAATGTCATTATCAGAATAGGTGGGTTTCACCTACTTATGTCCTTTTTGAAGACAATAAGTTATATCATGGATGTTTAGTACAATATATGCACTGCTTTCAATAGAGATTCTGACTGGACATGCCTATTCAAGAGCAGATAGAGCACATATTATATAGCCCATGCATGCTTGGCAAAACTTATTTTCAATACAATGGATTTGACGGATTTGACCTTTAAGAATGACTCTTAGTGCTATTCCGTAATTATAATAGGTCGGCTACGCTGTCAGCTAATGAAAACGGCAGTGTAAAGAAATTGGAAACTATAGTTCGGCCGCTTAGAAAACGACCTGCACGCTAATCCTAAACCAATGCTGGGGGAGGTCGCTTTCTAAGCGGCCGAACTATACCTATGTTTTCTGCTCGGCTCCAAATTTTAGCTCATAGTGGTGTTACTTCTAAACTTTGGAACTTTGAGTTGCTAACACTTGTTAAACTATTCATAGAATCTGAAAGATCGACGAGCTGGAACCTTCACCTCCAAGTTATTTATCAGATGCTACCATATTTCCATGCAAGTGGACATTTCTTGTCTGCTACCTCCAAGATGCACTCGTTGAAAGACAAAATGAGCCCTGAGGGAAATGAAAAGTTTAATGGTGGTGGATTTACCGTTCAAAGGACCAACAAGTTCTGGAGTGACCATAGAGCAATCTCTTATGAGTGTAATGAAAATTGCTGGAGCGCTTACCCATGGCCGTGGTGTAAGTGAAGGGTTTCTGTGCAGAGGACAAAGGAATGACTTCGCTACAAAACATTTGCGAAGAAATGGAGAAGATATGTGGAGTGACATTCATCAGCTCTGAACAAAAAGTTAAAATGAGAGAAGCTAGAATGACAAGAGATGGAAATGATCAAAAAAGTTAGATGATTGGTTTACACAACACAAACCATTCGGTCACAAGGCTAAGGAGATTGGCCACATTGCTTTAAATCCAATCGTGGGAAGTTAATTTCAACAGGTAAATTTTTACAGAAAAGACAGAGTTTTGCCACTTTCCACAATGATCCATTCCCTTTAAATACATGATGGCCTTAATCGTACCTATCAATCCAACTACTATTGTTCACAGAATGACAATTGCCAAGCAGTCTGATGAGAAACTTGAAGGCTTTTTGAAATACGACTATGCCCGTACCCAATGTCTCTATTCGATGACTTTGGTGTCAGGAAAGAGGGCAAAACAATCAAACATACTTAAGAACCAAATACTTGAAAGGTGTTTTAGGGGAAAAAGAGCCTGAAAGTAGCTCTGCAGAAATCATGGTACCGTTGGCCAAGAAGACTCGGAGAAATTAAAAAGTATAACTTAATCAAAGTCATTTGTATCTACCATTATGTTGGTGTATATGTTTTTTTTAAATTAAAGGTTTTTTTAATATTTATGAATAAAACAAGATTTGTGGGACGTTTTACACTTTTACATCCTATTACAACCTGAAGAAGTCATAACAGAAAGTAATTTTGCTTTTTTTCCTAAAATCAATGAATTTTGCATAACTTTTAATTTTGTTTGATAAAAACTTCTATGTTGTAGATAAAAGTTATAGAGACATAAACTGTAGAGAACTTTATGCTCTTTATATTAGTATAGGATGATATTTGAGAAAAATTATTATTCGATAAGGTATGAGGCAAAAACTAGACAAAATAGTATATTTCATTACTAGGATCGAAAGTGGCATTTTCCAGCGCGCGCTCAAGTTTTTGTGTGAGGCGAAGCCGAACACAGGGAACCCCAATTTCACTTGCGAGGCGAAGCCGAGTACGTGAGAGCTATTTTCACGTACGAGGCGAAGCCAAGGACGGGAATAATGGAGCAAGTGCCGGATAATAACTTTCGGTACGAGTTATGAACGATACTTTTCATCACGATGCAAAAATACACAAACACAGAATAGCAGACCTCAGTAATATTACAATAATTATCTATCAAACAATTTGTTTAAACATAAAAATAAAATAAAATCTTCTAAAAGTAAACCTATATGTTCATTTTTGTTTGATTTTTTAAACATAAAATAAAATCAAATATTCTAAAGGAAACCTTCGTACATTTCTCAATACTTCAAACATCAAATAAAAGAATAAAACGATTTTGAACAATACATACAGATGATTTAAATCATTAAGTTAAACCTTAACAAAACACTAGCGCGCGTAGTGAATAAATGGAAAACTAATTGAGAGCGAGGGAAAG